CAGACGGGGCTGGACCAGGGGGGGGAGGCTGTACCGGGGGAGCAGGCGGGGGAGCGGCTGTCAGGAAGAGGGGGGGAGGAGGAACCAGGAGACCTCGACTGGGGTACCTGACGTAGTACGGGGTGGACTCCTCGAAACGGACGTCACGGGAGTCAAAGAACCGGTGAGAGGGAGGGTGGTAAAATGTGAAGTCAGAGGAGTCCTCAGGGAAACCAAGGAAGACACAAGGAACGGCGCGAGGCGAGAGCTTGTCCGCGGAGGTGTCGCGGACAAGAGCCAAGCACCCCCAGACACGAAACCTCGACGCGACACCAGGGGACCCTGTCCAAAGACTGGTCGGTGAAGCCTCCGGCCGAGAGACGCGTGGCCAGAGGTTCAGCTGGTGCGCGGCGTACCTGACTGCGTATGGCCACAGGAAATGGGGGGCACGGGCGTGAGTCAAGGAGGTGCGGGCAATCTCCATGACCAGGCCTATGCGACGCTCAGCAACCCCATTCTGCTGTGGGGACTCCGGAAGCGTCCAGGACTGACGAATGCCCTGTTCGCGACAGAATCCAGCGAGAATGCCGGAGCGAAACTCGCCCCCGCGGTCGGAGTGGAGACAGCTGACACGACGACCACGAGTGTCCTGGGTGGTAAGCAACCACCTGATCAGCGTAGAAGTCACCTCAGACTTCCTCGCCAGGGGGAACACTGTGGTATAGCGGGAGTAGTCGTCAACGACCACCAAAAAGAAACGCTCACGCTCAGGGCCAGGGCAAGGAGAGGGGCCCCAGACGTCCAAGTGCAGCGTCTCAAAAGGCTCGGTGGCCGGACGAAGGGAGGAGGAGTGAGGGGTGGCACGCAGCCTACCCTCGACGCAAGGACCGCACGGTGGTGCAAGGGACGGCGGCAGCGACGGCAAGACACGCGGGAGACCTAAGACCAGACGCTGACTAGACATAGCACGCAGACGTGGAAGAGAAGGGTGTCCCATCCGGTGGTGCCACAGAACGGTGGGGTGGGCAAGCGACCGACAGGAGCAAGACGCAGCGACTGGACTGGACGCGACAACCTGAGGGGACGGAACCACCTGGTGAGACGCAGGGAGGAGACTAGGGGGAGGGACAGGAACTGGGAGGAGTGGCTGCTGCGACGGCGGCCGCTGTGGCTGCGGCTGCTGCTGCTGCCGCTGCTGAGGCTGCTGCTGCTGCTGCTGCAGTCGCTGCTGAGCGCGCGGGCCAGTGTGAAGAGTGTAGAGACCGGAGCCCGGCTCAGCAGCAAAAGTGGCGAGAGGCTGGTAAGAGTCCCCGTCAACACACACCGCAGTCTCTCCAGAAGGCTCAAACCACACACCCACGTGCTGACTCACAAGGGGTCGCACGCCCACCAAGTTCCGGGAGAACGAGGGGACGTGAAACCCAGTGAGAGACCCAGAAGGAGCAGCCGGACACGGCAAGGTGGTAGTGTGACGCGCGGTGACTGGTCCCGAAGTGGGATCAGCCAGCGCCACAGAAACAGGCGCAGGAAGAGGCGTAAGTGTCGTGCTGTCACGAAAGAAGCAGTGAGAGGCTCCAGAGTCCAGCGTGAACGACAGCGAACCGTCCTCTGAGGTAGCCGCTGGACTAGAGTCTACACAAGAACCTACACTAGCAACAGGCAACTGAGCAAGGCTAGCACCTAAGCTAACAACACCAGAGTAAGCAGAGTCAGAAACACTAGAGTCAACAACAGCATACATAGCATGAGGAGCACCAATCAGATCAACTAACTGCTCAGCAGACATGCCCCACAGAGCGGAGCCGTAGCGCTGAACCAGAGGAAGCCAGTCAAGGGCAGGACCGCCAACCCCGTAGGCCAACCGGACCGTGTCAGTGAGCTGAGCAAAGCACTGACCAGGGGGGTGAAAGCGGCCACAAGGGTGGCCCCGACGAGGACCTGTCAGAACCTGGTAGGTGCAGGGAGGGTAAGCAGCACCACGCTGGGGCTGACGCAGCCCCGACCCCGGAGCCAGCTGCTGACGCTGCTGCTGCTGAGGCTGCTGGGAGGAGAGGGGCTGCTGCTGCTGCTGAAGCCGCTGCTGACGCTGAGCCTGGTACCACGCCGCTGCTCCACCTAGCGGGGCCGGCAGTACAGGAGACGACTGACGAGCTCGGGTGTCGCCACCACCAGCAGGCGCAGTGGAGTCACCAGCCGCTGCACGAGAGGTCTCTCCAGACGCTGCACTCCCACCACCGCCAGTCGCAACAGCACCCCCACTACCTCCGCTACCTCCGCCTCCACCTCCACCAGAACCACCTTTCTTGCCCCCCTTGCCGCGGGACCGCGACGCAGTCGTAACAGCAGCTGCAGTCGCGTCAGTAGCGGCAGTGGCAAGAGAGGCAGTGAAGGTGGGTAACTGCGGGACTGTGCACCCGTGGAAGAGTGGGGGGGGCACAGCACCAGAGGCGGCAGCTACCGAGCGAAGGTTGCTCTCGACGTCCTTGAGCGCAGACTCAAGGACCTCAACTGTCAGCTCACTAGGGTGCTTCAGCAGGAGCGCGTCACGTACGGAGGCAAGGCGGTCAGGGAGGCTAGTGGCGATGAAATAGATAGTAATCGCCATGGGGGGAGGAAGCAGTGCAAGCTGTGCCTCAGTGCAAGCAGCGCGGTAACTAGCGTCGAGCGAGCGGAGGTGAGCGATCAAGTCAGCAGAGCGCTCAAACGAGGCGAGATCAGGAAACAGGAACGGGAGGAAAAGACGGCCAAGAGAGACAGTAGCGGGAGTAGAGTAGCGGGCCTTAATCGCAGTGAGGTACGCAGCAGCGGTGCGAACCTGAGTGAAGTGGACCTCCTCTGACTCAGGGAGGAGGCTGCTGAGTGCGATGCAGGCCGCAGCGTCACGCGACGTCCAAGCCGTCCTGTCAGCGCGCTGACGGGCAAAGCGAGCCGTAGCAGCATCGTCAGGGGCAGGACCTAAAGCGGCAGGCTCGGGGGGCTCGGGGAGGTCACCAGTAGCGTGCGACCAGAGGGTCTCGCCCCCCTGGACTTGACTCTCTAACAGACGGCGAGCGCGAAGGAGCCAGACGGAAAAGTCAAGAGGTCTGCCGTCAGCGTCGAAACGAAGAACTCGCGGAGTCGCCATAGCGAAAACTAACGCGAACGAGCAGGCGAGTAACAGCAGGAGGTAAGAGGCAAATTAGGGTTCAGGTGGGACTTAGTCGCAGCGGAAGAGCGGGCTAGAGCGACGGGCCAGGGCGTAGGGTCGACGGGACGGGGGAAAGGGCGGGCACGATGCGACGGGGCAGGGCGACGCGACGGGGGAGGGCGACGCGACGGGGTAGGGAGACGGGACGTGGCGACGGGACGGGGCAGGGCGACGGGACGGAACGGGGACGGGACGGGGCAGGGGCGACGGGACGGGACGGGGCGACGGGACGGGACGGGGCAGGGCCGCGGGACGGGACGGGACGGGACGGGACGGGGCAGGGCGACGGGACGGGACGGGGACGGGACGGGGCAGGGGCGACGGGACGGGACGGGGCGACGGGACGGGACGGGGCAGGGCGACGTGACGGGGGGAAAGGGCGCGACGCGACGGTGGGAAAGCGCGCGCGACGCGACGGGGGGAAAGAGCGCGACGCGACGGGGGGAAAGGGCGCGACTCGACGGGGGGGAACGGGCGCGACGCAACGGGGGAAAAGGGCGCGACGTGACGGGGGGGAAAGGGCGCTAGGCGACGGGGGGAAGGGCGCTAGGCTCGGCACTAGGCGCGGTAACAACGGAACCGGTACGAACGAGAGGTAGGATCAGGCTCGGGAGATACGAACGGAGAACGGAGGAACGGGATCCCACAGGATCCTAACCGCTCTGATACCATGTCAGAATGAGGAATGGATGATGCATTGATGTTGGTTGGGGTACATATAGCTAACCCTAAGTTTTGTACCCCCTAAGACAAACCTCACTATAGGCTACAACATTTGACAATCACACCTAAGAAGATTCTGAGCCACTGAGTTTGTGATGTGGAGCTCGTAGAACCGAGTTCCTGTTCCGCTGGAAAGACCGCACACCGACCGAAAACAACATGGTACCCTTGGACAAAATTAGAAACCACCTCGTCGTCACCGACTATCTGCGCAGCCGCAATTTCCGGGATGTACACGCACTCTCGTTTGGTCAGACTGGTTTCATTCTCGCTTCGCAACACCTTTTTCAAGTTGGGTCGGGGTTCACTATTTTGCATGTCGGTTTTAAGGAGGGGTAGTGTAAGGAAATTTCCATTTTCTTACGTCGCATCCCTGCTTAGCGCATATATTATTGTTGCCCACCACAGTCAGCACCGTTGCTACTCGCAATACTCGCCTCGACTATTTCCCGCCACCTCGCCCGTCGCAACCCAACCTCGTGGCTCGGCTGGTAACCCGCGCTCCGGGCCTCCGCTTCGACACTTCCCGACCTCAGTCCCAACCTCAGTCACAGGCCCGTTGCGCGTCACCCATAGTTTGTTACCGTTACCACCGTGGCCTTCGCTATTTAGCTCTCGCTCATTCCTTTAGCTCATGATACTGTTTTGCTTCAATAGTGCAATTCCCCCTCGCTAGCCCAATTGCACTCGTAACACGCAGTCACCAATAGACTGCTAGCGAAATTCCACCTTGCTCCTTTTGCATTTGTTGTGACGTTGATACTTGTGGGACTCGAAGTCAGCGGGAATAGAGCCTTCAGGCAAGGTGTCAACTTTCCGCTGGGCTTTTCCACCAATAATTCCGTCGGAACACAATTCGTAACCCCATTCGCACTATCGGCTTGAGCGAACTCTGCGGGTCCTAAGTGTTGGGCAGTAACGTCACGGGGGCTGGGAACGGGCCCCTCCTGCGAGGTATCTCCAATAATTCTGTGTCCAATAAATCCAGTTCCGTTTTTGTTTTCGCCAGCGTCGTCACCTTCGCACACGCCCCAGCCAACGCTTATTTCAAGGCAGAATGGCGACTAAAGGTACACGTTTCCTGCAGCGACTCCCGTCGCAGCGGTCGCACATGGCCAAGGCCTTGCCGCGCCAATCGCGGGCTGCTTCCCGTCACAGAGGCCTCTCGTCGTCCAGAAGCTCGGTGGAACGGATGACGCGCCGCGCGCTAGGCTCGCTATACCAATTACCAATCGGCCTTCTCACCTCCTCTGCTATACCAATTACCAATCGGCCTCCTCATTAGAAGCACCAATTACCCCTCTAGCACCGCTTGCCCTCGGAGTTTCTCCGCTGCACATCTGCCGCTCGTGCTCTCATATTTACTCGTGGCGTTCAAGGGCTAAGAGTCCAAGACAGAGCACCATCCATCCATCCGCCGGAACCATCGTCGCCAGCAGCATGGGGAATCATGGCAAGGCCGTGCGTGCGTTGCTCGCCATCGTCGCCGTCATCGCCGGTACGCTCCGCCACTCGCGTCTTTCGCCTCGCTCTCTCGCCGTCGCCGTGCGTGCGCTCATGCGCATCGTCGACTCCACGCCACGCCGCCATGCGTTCCGTTCAATGCTCTCATGCGCCACGGACCACACCACAGTGCTCTCACGCGCACGGCAATGCATTCCCAATGAACACGCCTCTCCGTGCCTCCCTCCCCCCCATGCCACGTGTCCCTCTCTTGCAGCGTGTCTCCCGCAGCCGTCGCGCGCAGTAGGCGTCGCAACAGCCCCAGCGAGCATCGCCACGCAGATGACCATCAACGGCCGCGCTTTCACCTTCGAGTCGCGCCGCTGTGTCAACATCCCCGCCATGCCGGGAGCTACGAAGGCGCGCGTGGAAGTGTCGCAGCAGCAGCAGCAGCAGCAGCAGGGAAGCGATGCTGGCAGCGATGCCGTCAGCGCTGCTGCGTGCGGCGCGATCCGGTTCTTCCAGGATCCCGGCTGCTCAGGCCAGGCGCTGGACTTTCTCCCTGTCATGGGCGCTCAGAGGTGCGCCGCGCCGCGCGCCTTCTATTCCTGCTCGCCTTGCGTGCTTCCACTCTCGCCTTGCTTCCATGCTCGTGTGCTCTTAACGCCGCTCGGTTGCTCCCCCACCTAACCAACGACCCGTGCTCTCGTGGCGCCCGACCGCCCTCCCCTGTGTGTGCAGTGTCAAGTACATCCCTGGTGTTGTGACCTCCGCCCTCTGCCTCACTGGTGCGTCCCCTCTTGCCTTGCCCCTCCCGCCTCTCCTCCCTTCCATTCTCCACAAAGTCGCCCTCTCTCTCACTGACTGTATGAACCCTCGACCTCACCTGCCCTCTCTCTCTCCCTGCCTCTGTGCTGCAGAAACCTCACGACCTGCTACCGGCACCGCAGCACCTTCCAACAACATCCTCGAATCCTCCAGCAGCAGCGACGCCGATTCAGAGTCTGCCCGGGTCATACTGGAATCCACCCTGGACGTTACAGATCCCACTACCGGCACCTCTATTGCAGGTGTTACAGATCCTAGCACCAGCACCACCATTGCCGGCATCACAGATCCTAGCACCGGCCCCGCCACTGCAGGCTTTACCAACCTTTCGATAAATCCTGGAGGGCCTGCCGCCACCGACCCTGCAGTTCCTGTGGTCTTCACTCCAGGCACTTTCACCAACGATGCAGTGAATCCCACGAAGTCCCCCGAGCCTACCGGCGGCGCGTATGGCGCTTATGGCGCTTACACTACCACCACCGTGCCGGGCTACTGAGCTGAGCCAGTGGAGGCAGGAAGGAACGAGGCGTGCAGATTGATCGACACAGCGCAGAATAAATGAGGGATATACCGTATCGCGTAGCTTGGTTGCTTTCTAGGGATTGGTTGCTGTGGTTCTGTGTTTCTCAAACACATGCCACGAAGGGCAGCTGGAAAGTTTTAGAGGAAGGATAACGGAAGAAGCAACTAAGCTAATAACAGCACTGCAGTGTTTAGAAGCGCAGATAGAAGCGCAGGCCTCGGATAAGCGCCGGCGCTTATAAAAGGATGAGGGCGCTTATATCCGGTCCTCGATTATAAGCGCACCCCTTAAAAAATTCTGATTTATTATAAGCGCATGTCTATTTTTTAATCTGAAAATCAGTCGAAACGCAGAAACGAATTTCTCTTTACCAGGGAATCGAAGTACAGGTCCACTTTCCCACTCACATCACACTTGCTGCGCGTCTAGTCAGCACTTGCTGTCGCTTAGTCGGCATGTGTTGGCAGGGATTAAATCCCTGCTACCGTAAGTTGCGCGAGAATCAGATTCGCGACCCCATATATTTTCGACTCGATTACAATTGGCAGAACAAGGTGTACAGATTGGTGTAAAACAAATATAAACTCGTTTTGCCATTTTATAAGCGCCGGCTCTTATAAAATTCCTCAATTATAAGCGCACCCCCTAAAAAACAGTGTTTTTTTATACCCCCAGGGGCGCTTCTATCCGGGGGCTGACAGTACTGCAGTGTCTTAATATCCTGTTAGCGCTCCTTGGTTTGTCCTCTGTTTTTTTATGCAGTTTTATGCTAGTACCGTATGGTAATGCAGTTTTCACATCACATACAGCATTAACAGAGAAGAGCTTATTTTCTAGTTCCTGGCTTTGCTTGCTTGCAGCAGTGATGGTAAGGTGAAGCACGCATAAGGTTGAATCCTTGCGGCATAACAGAACAAGCAACCTGCAAGGGCAGGTGTGCCAGAAACCCTGTGCTTGTACCCTACCTTTATCATTTGAGCTCATGTATGATGACTAAGCCTAAAAAATAACGGTAGAAGCACTGGACATGGTGTGTGTGCGGTGCGGATGAGGCAGCAGCAGATGACGAGGAGCTGCGGAGCAGGTACCGTACCGCCGGTATGATCAAGACAAGACTGCAGAACTGAGAGAGAGCATCAGCTCTGGCACATTATGGGGCTGTGGGAACAAAGAATTTTGGGGGCTTGGGCCGAGCAGCCCGGGCAGATGGGTTGAAGAATGCGGGGGCGGTGGGAGCAGAAAAAAGTGGGACAGTGGGAGGGGTGGTAGGCGGGGCAGCGGGAGGAGCAGTAGGGGGGCCAGCTTGGGTTGAGGAAACAGGAGGGGCAGAGAGGGGAGGGGCAGAGAGGGGAGGGGCAGAGAGGGGAGGGGCAGAGAGGGGAGGGGCGGAGAGGGGAGGGGCGGAGAGGGGAGGGGCGGAGAGGGGAGGGGCGGAGAGGGGAGGGGCGGAGAGGGGAGGGGGGAGCGGAGAGGGGGGGGCGGAGAGGGGAGGGGCAGAGAGCGGAGGGGAGAGGGGGAGGAGCAGAGAGGGGAGGGGCAGAGAGAGAGGGGGGCAGAGAGGGGAGGAGCAAGAGAAGGGTTGGGAGGGAGATGCATGGAGGGAGCGAGAGAAGGAGGCACGGAGGGAGGGAGAGAGGGAGGCATGGAGGGAGAGAGGGGCTGAAGCGAAACACTCATGGTGGTTTCATGTGGCAGGGCAGTGGGAGGGGCAGTGGGAGGGGCAGAGGAGGGTGCAGCCATTGGTGAGGACGCAGCAGCAGCCGGCGCAGCAGCAGGAGCCGCAGCAGGCGCAGACTCAGCGGATGCACCCATGGTGGGAATCAGGGCAGTGTTGAAGTCAGCAGGGGGAGCGGCTGGGGGGAGAGAATGAGTGGGGAAGTGCGTGGGAGGGGCCAGCAGGGGAGGGGCAGGATAAGGATCAGATGCAGGGAATGCATTTTGTGTGGCAGCGGGGATGGTGGGGGTTGGAGCGGCGGTGAGGGTGACAGAGGCAGAGGAGGAGGAGGTGGGATGTGCAATGGGGACAGTTTGAGAGGGGACTGGGAAGGATGGAGGGGCAATGGTGGCAGGCGGAAGTGGTGGAGAGGGCACCTGGTGTGGGGTTACGGAGTGGAAAGGAGGAGGAAGAGCAGCAGCAGCGGCAGCAGAGGCGGCACCAGCGCCGGTGGTGGCAGATGAGTCTCCAGCCGAAGCAGCAGCAGCATGTGAGGTAAAAACAGGCTGGGAGGGAGCAACGACAGGTCCTGCTGTATCGTTGGTTCCAGTGACAGCAGATGCAGCCGCAGCTGCCGCAGCAGCGACAGAAGCAGCGACGGCAGCAGCAGCGCTGGTGGTGGTACTACCAGTAATGATTGCAGGAGCAGGCATGGGAGCAGGCACAGGCGCAGGCAAGGTAACAGGCATGGGCGCAGGCACAAGAGCAGGTGCCGTAGCAGGCCCGGTAGTACCAGCAATGCGGCTTACGTTTGGACCATAATCCCCACCTGTACCGCCTAGAACCCCCTCTCGGTGCATTCGCTGCCCCCCCTCTTGACCCTGTGGCGCCTCATCCACTGCAGTCTGTGGCAAAAACGGGTGCTGGGCAGGCAGAGAGCTAGGAGGAGGGACGGCACGAGGTGCTGCAGGGGGGAGGGCAACAGGTGCTGCAGGAGAGGAGTGAGAGAGGGGAGAGGCGGAGGCGGGGGTGTCGGAGTGGGGGAGGGGAGGGGAGATGGGGGGGGAGGAGGAGTGCAGGGCGGAGCGGAGCAAGGAGAGCGCGGAGGCAGCTCGGGAGGCGAGGAGGCGCAGGCGCAGGAGAGTGGCGGCGAGGGAGGTGAGGGAGGAGCGAGCAGAGAGCAGGAGATGATCCGCAGAGGAGAGAGCTGCGCACATCTGGAAGGGGGAGAGGGGGAGAGGAGGGGGGCGGGAGGGAGTGAGACGAGAGGGGAGGGAAGGAGAGATGAAGGGAACGGAAGAGTTTTATAGCAAAGGAGAGGTAGTTTTGGAACGTGTCAAAAGTAGGCGGTGGAAGGGATGGAGGGGAGAGAAGCAGGTGTGGCAGGCTGTGCAGGTTTTGATGGGGAGAAGCATGCTGGGATGGGATTGATGTGTGGCGAAGGAGGAGAAAGATGGGGAGCGACAAGGTAGTGTCATGTGAAGAAGAAAGTTGCAGGTATCCGATATGGTGGGCAGCAGAGAAGTGACACTAAGGAGGGAAGGACGGGAAGGGAGGGGGGGACGCATAGGGAGGTTGTGAAGGGACAGGAGGATGGGGAAACGGAGGCTGAAACAGCAAGAACAAGGGATGTTACGGCATGACTGGGCGTGCAGTGACTTTTGAGTCGAAACAAAGGCGAAGAGAAGACGCTGGAATTTAAAGCACAAAGTGCGGGGATCCTTAACAGGACCGGAGGTGGACTGCATCAGGGCTCATCATACAAGAATTTCGCACTTGGTGCAAGGATACGAAATCTACCGATGTGGACACAATGGAGGCGTGGGGAGATGTCGCCAACATACCGGTGGAATTTCTGGCACTGGGGGCTGCATGGGCGTGGGTCCAAGTGGCTGAGCCAGCAGCACAGGAATTGTCATCTGCCCCTCTCACACAGCTGATGCTATTGCTGTGCTGCTGGCTCAACCACTCAAACCCGTGCCCATGCAGCCTCTAGTGCCAAAGATTTCACCGGTAGGTTGGCGACATCTCCACACGCCTCCCTTGTGTCCACATCAGCAGATTTCACATCCTCGCACCAAGTGTGAGCTCTTGTCAGATGAGCCTTGATGCAGTCCACCTCCGTTCCTGTTAAAAACTCCCGCACTTTGTGCTTCAAATCTTCCAGCGCCTTCTTCTCTGACCCCTCAGGCAGCTTGCTGTACACCACAACGCAGCCGACATCGATGTTTTAAACTCCCCTGAACTGTATGTTTTTTTATTCGTTCTTACCGAAGCATATTCCGACAAAAGCCACATACCCCCCAATTATTTCCACAATTCACCCCTGCGTACTACCTCTGCTCCTCCCTTCTCCCTTCTCTCATATCCCCTTTCCCTCTACCACACCCTCCCCCTTTCCTGTTACTCCTCCCATGCCCCTCCCCCCCCTCCGCTGCTATTCCCCCTAACCTAAACGGACCAACATGAACAGACCAACAGGAGCCGAGCATCCATGGTACGGCACAACACGCACGCACGCACGCTTGGCACGGCAAGGCACGGCTCGGGAGAGCAGGGCTCGGCACGGCACAGCACGGCACGGCACGGCATGTGACAGCGTGGGCGTGGGTGGCTGACCTGCGCGGTGAAGCGCGTCCATGCATGGCCGGGCTCCGAGAGCGACGAGCGGAAGTCGTCCAACGATGCCTGCAGGGGTGCGGTGCGGTGCGGTGCGGTGCGGCGGGGTGGGGTGCAAGGGAGAGAGGTAGGGGGAGAGAGGAAGGAAGGATGAGAGTACAACACACACATGAAATAATAGTAACAATAATAAGAAAAAAAGAGATAACAAAACGAAGAATGGAAATAAGAGGAAGACAAATGGAAGAAGAATGCGGTTTTCTAGACGAGCGGGCGCGGTCCATTGCGGGGCACATATGGGTGAACGGGGAGCGAGCATTGCGGTCCATTACCCACCTTCAGCACACACGACGCGAGCGACGGGTAGTAGACAGACGGCAGACAGGTCAATATACAGGATAGCAGGCAGGGGAGGAGTACCTCGAAGGAAGAGAGCAGCATATGGCGAGTGACGTGGGAAGCGCGCGCTGCATGCGGTGATGCGGGCAGAGCGAGTGGAGGCGAGACGGGTCGCGGCAGCAACGACGGCGCGGTGGAACTAGCGATGCCATCTCCGCTCTCCCCTCTCACTTGCTGCTGCTGCTGCTGCGACCGTCGCCGACGCCGATGCCGCAGCTTACCCCTCTCTTGAATCCCTCCCTCACGATCGTCGAAATCGCGGTGGTCGACGCGCTCGCGCGTCTCCTCCGCCGTCAGATCGCCCACCAGATCGCCGAACGTCACCAGCGGCCCTCGCGGGCCCGCCGGCGCCGCTGCTGCCGACCACATCGCTGCGAAGCGCCAAACGTAGCTCGAAACCTTATTCTCAAAGAAATCTTAACGAGAAAGCATCACGTCACTTAGCGTGGAGAGGGCTTGGCGTTGTGGCGCGAATCGCGCGTCGGACGCGTGACGAAACGCGGTTCTAGGAAATGGACTGGCAGTGGAGAAATGGCCAAACGCGAAATCAGAAAGGTTGACAATCTGCCAAATGTCAATTACGAAGGAGAATTCGAAGTCACAGTGGTTGAATGCGGTGGAGGAGTCACACAAAGCACGAGGATTTCGTTAGAAACATGCCAGGACCGCTTTCACGGTTTCAAGCAGTATGTGGTCAAAGTACGTCACAATATTACTAAACTAAACAAATGGGGTTGTGATGGATGGTTGGTTAGCAATGAGTCACCAGGTTGGAAATAACACCATGTAGAGAACAGTGCAAGCAGCACCTGTATGCCCGAAATAGCATGTCAGTCATCAGCAGCCAACACATGTAGCCATGCTCTGCTGTAATCGCATTCGTCCGCAACCCATTTCTTTTCTAAACGTCTCTTCAAAGGTGAAACGGACTTGTAAAGAATCCGCACTCAAGAATACAGCCGCCAGACGAAGCGAGGCGTGAGACAGAGACGAGACGAGACGATGAAGCCGGGACGGGAAAGGCGAGTCGAGGTGAGATGAAGCAAAGGGGAGATGAGGCAAAGATGAGACGATGAGACAATCCCGGCCCGGACAATCCCCTCGGTCCACTAATAGTACATGTGCTGCTGACCTCCTCCTCCCGCCCCGCCTGAATTTACTCCTGACCCTGCCCGATATGCATCATACCCTGCCCCTCCACTTCCCACCCCAGGCACCCCCCCTGCCGCTCCCCCCATCCCTGGCCCCACTCCCCCCGGCCCCATGCCTCCTCCCATCCCCCCCATCGCCCCCATCCCCCCCATACCCGGCCCCATCCCCCCATCCCAGGCCCCATTCCCCCCATCCCACCCATTCCCCCCATCGCCCCCATCCCCCCCATTCCGCCCCCAGCCATGCCCATGCCCATGCCCATACCCATGGGCATGGCCCCTGCTTGTGCAGCAGGGGGCATGAGGGCGCGCAAGCGCTGGTATGCCAGCAGGTCAGCAGCAGAGGGGCCGCCAAACGCGCCAGCAGGGGCGGCATAGGTAGGGGGAGCAGGGGGTGGTGGGGGAAGGCCGCCAGGGGTTGTGGTGGCGGAGGGGGGCGTGGGCTTGCTGCCCCAGGAGCACTGCAGATGGGGTGAGGGGGAGAGAGGGACGGGGTGAGGCAGTGAGCAGTGGATATAAGTGTGGAGCGTATAAGTAGTGACCCTGAGAATAGTAGATAACGGCACAGGCATGAATGGCACAGGCACCAATCAACCCAGAGCAACACAGCGCAGCGCAGCCCAACGCAACCCAGCCCAACACGGCCAAGCCCAGCCCACCTTGACGGATTTCCCGCAGATGACGCGGCCGTTGGCGGCCTGGATGGCAGCAGCGGCCTCCTCATGCGTGCGGTAGCGCACAAAGCCAAAGCCCTTGTCGCGCTGCACGCGCACCTCCTCTATGATGCCCACTCCCAGCGCGTAGAACTGCCGGTGCAGCTCCGTCTGCGTCACCTGTGAGGGGGGGTTGGGGGGAAGGGGAAGGGAATGAGGGTGGAAGACACAGGGTGGAAACGAGGTGAGAAGAGGGTGCAGAAGGGGGATAGAGGAGAGGGAGGAGGATTGGGAATGAGATGAGACGGCAGTGCACCTTTGAAGCAAAGTTGTCTACATGAACCGTTGCTTTGTGTTCCAAACCTCATTGGCATGCGCTGCTCCGTTCGGTACGCTCAGAATTCACCTCACCAACACAGAACTGCTTGTGTCACAAGGCAATAACCTCAGGAAGTACCTAATCACAGCATGCTGCACAGGACATACCTCTGAAGCCAAGTTGCCCACATAGACCGTTGTGAACTGTGCACTGCTGGTCGTACCAGCCCCTCCAGCCCCAGCCCCCGCAGCCGCACCAGCAGCAGCAGTGGTGGTACCGGGGGCCCCTGCAGCAGCAGCAGCAGCTGCAGCCGCCCCTGGTGCTGCTCCTTGTGAATCATTGTCTGCCACGAGCAGAGAGGCAGGGAGGCAGGCAGGGAGGCAGGGGTACGCTAAAGATAGCAGGTGATACGAGTCAAGAAGCATACCAGGTGACCTTTGGGTCGACTCATTAGTCACTTTTGGTTCGACTCAAATCGAATCGCGGGTGGTACGAGTCAAGAGGAATAGTAGAGCGTACAAGCCAGAATAAGGCGGAAGAAAGGCCACAAAGCCGCGTGAAGGTTGGAGGGGCATTAGAGATTCAGGCCAAGCGGTGCAAGCAGGAAGGGTGGCAGGAGGAGATGTGGAAGGGGGGAGCTAGTCAGGGGTAGATGTGGAAGAAATGCGGGGGACAGAGCAGCTCATCGTAGACTTAAGCTGCTGGACCTCTGTTCATTAGATTGGTGAGAGGTTGCGCAAAAAACCGCACACACAGACACCTACGCACAGCAGCACATCGCCGCACATCACAGAACATTGCAGCACCACCAAGCGCAGCAAAACACAACACCTGTTACACTTCCACCTTTCGGTTCATGCTTGACGGAGCCATTCGTCCCTCCATCTGCACCCTCTCCTCTCCGCCCCTGACTGCAGCACAGCTTGTTGCGATGCTGGCCGTTTCAAGTCTCTTAGGAGAATTCTCTTCAAAGTTTGTTAAGAGAATTCTTAAAAGTGATTCAAATAGAACCCACCCACTTTTTGGTTCATGCTTGACAGTGCCATTCGCCCCTCCACCTGCACCCTCCGCCCCTGACTGCACCACTGTTGCGACGCCAGCTGTTTCAACGTCTCTAAGAAGAATCCAAAAAAATGAGTCAGTTAAAATCCACACACCTTTCGGTTCATGCTTGACAGTGCCATTCGCCCCTCCACCTGCACCCTCCGCCCCTGACCGCAACGCGGCTTGTTGCGACGCCGCCTGTTGTTGCGCCTGCTGCTGTTGCGGCACCACCACCACTGGCTGTTGCTGTTGCTGCTGTTGCTGCTGCTGCTGCTGTTGCTGCTTGGAAGCATCGTCCATGGCTTGGTTCTTGGTGGCCCAGTTGCACCGGATGGGTCGTGTGCCCACCCACTTGCCTGTCATCTCCGTTATTGCTGCCTCTGCGTCCTGAACAGGTGAGGCATAGTTGTGTGTGTGTATGCGGGTGAGGGAAAAGGTGAGGGACAGGGTGAGGGTGAGGGAAAGGGTGAGGGAAAGTTTGAGGGAACGGGTGAGGGTGAGGGTGGAGATAAGCATAAGGATGCTGTGGCAGCACCACAACTGGCTGCTGCTGCTGTTGCTGCTTGGAAGCATCGTCCATGGCTTGGTTCTTGGTGGCCCAGTTGCACCGGATGGGTCGTGTGCCCACCCACTTGCCTGTCATCTCCGTTATTGCTGCCTCTGCGTCCTGAACGCGTGGGGCATACCAGAACATAGCATACGTAAGTGTGTGCGTTTGTGTGTGTATACAGTGTAGGCAAGGAGATTTAGATATCAAAGGGGTCTGTTGAAGGATGGCTATGCGGACAGGGTTTGAAAGAAGGGGGTTTAACAACTGCGTCAGAAAAACACCTCTTTCACTTCGGGAAGGCAGAATATGTAAGGGCCTTTGGCCTAGAACAAAGGAGGATGTGTGTGTGTGGTGATATGGCGAGACACCAACTCACCAGTTGGCTTAGTACGCAAGAACACACAATCGACAGCACAGCAGGCCTATGAACCAGCCATAGCACGGCCCCATAAGCCAGTCCGCGTTGCATATCGAGGGTTGTGAGGTGGTGCAGTGCGGTGCGGTGGCAGCTGAGCTCACCAGTTGGCTGCGGAAGGACACGAAGCCATAGCCCCTTGAGCGCCCTGTGCGATGGTCCCACATTACCCGCGCGTCCCTGGGGGCGAGGGGGGCAGAGGAATGATTGGGAAGTGGGACGGGGGAAGTGGGGATGGCTTGAGTTGACTCAACGCTCGCCCTGTGCGATGGTCCCACATTACTCGCGCGCCCCTGGGGGAAGCCAGAAGGGGGGGGGTTCATGTGTGGGGGAGAAAAGCAGCAACGAAGGGTAAGGGTTCAGTGGGGGGGTTCAGTGGGGGGTTGGGGTTGAAATGGGGGGTGGGGGGGTGGATGCAAAGGGTACGCTAGGGGCAAAGGGTGAATGAGAGGGGGAAGAAAATGAGAACGTGCTACTTGCCATGTTTACAAGAAGACTCAGAATGTAATGCGGAGGAGAACGGCAGAGGGGAGAAGGGCAGAGCGGGGAGGGGAACAGGGGCGAAGGGAAGAGGGGGAAGGGGCAGAGGGAAGACGGGAAGAGGGGAGAGGGGCAGAGGGGAGAAAGGCAGAAGAGAGAAGGGCAGAAAGGAGGAGGGCAGAGGGGAGAAGCGCAAGCCAGGCCAAACCATGCCCCAGAGAGGCAAGAGGGACACCCATAGGATGAGGGAAAAGAGTGGCAAGGAGAGAGTTGGGGGGGGCGGGGAGAGGGAAAGAGGGGGGTGGGTGGCGGGGGGAGGGGGGGGGGGGGGGGGGGGGGGGGGGGAGGGGGGCAAGGAGTGTGCGTACGAGCAGCTGGGGAAGGTGCTGAAGGCGGCGAAAAGCGAGGCGTCTGTGACCTCTGGACCCAGGTCGCCCACGAATATGTTCACATGCGCTGGCGGGGAGGGGGGAGCGAGGAGTGAGGAAGGAGAGGAGGGAGAATGAGCGGAAATGTGAGGGTGGGGGTTGGCAGGAAAGCTGAAAGCTGTTTACTGGCCAGGGGAGCACATGAACAGGAATAAAGGGTAAACGAGGTTGCAATGTCAAGGCTGAGGGGCGTGAGGGTGGTGTGAGGGGCGTGAGGCGAGTGAGAAGAGTGCGAGGCATGGGGCGCATGGGGGGCATGGGGGGCATGAGCAGTGCGTACTTGAGGTGTCTTCGCGGTTAGTGCTGGCATACGCCCAGTTCACCTTGATCGGCTGCCCGAACCTGGTGGGCAGCACACGGGACACGGGATATGGGATATGGGGACACGGGACGCATGCAGAGATGTACGCACCATGCATATGCAGGCATACACGCACAGAGACAGGCAAACATACACACGCAGACAGAGACACACAGACACACACGCGCACACACACACACACACACACACACACACACACACACACACACACACACACACACACACACACACACACACACACAACACACACACACACACACACACACAGCGTAAACACCTGAAAGGTCAAGAGTCCTTCCCAACCCTCCCAAATTCTTCTTACGCCTCTTCTGCTTCAACTCCTCGAATCTTCTCCTTCACTCAACCCCCGCCCCCACGCCCTCTCACGGATTACCCCAGTGCTCATATTCTCTCTCCTGCCTCACCTCCCGATTCCACAAAAGTATCCCACCCTACTACTACACCAGTGCCTGCCCTCCACTCAGACCACGCCACACAAGAACATTCACAACCGAACACAACACACGGCACATCCAATCCCTGAAACATCCTTTCCAAACCCTAAACCTCCAAACAAAAGCATGTCACGCAGGTGTGTGAGCAGCGGCGGCTTACAGGAGACGGCCGTTGAGTGTGAGCAGCGCTGCCTGCGCCGACCGATGGTCGTAGAAATCCACAAACCCGTATGACGACTGGCACATGCCCGCACAGTTGGTGATGGTGACAGTTGGCAGGTGGCAGACACACGTGATCATGACGCGGCGGCGAACACGTGCGGCGCAGGAGGAGGGACGAACAGCGGGAACAGGGGAGACGCACAGGTAAGCAGCAAGTGAGGGAACGACGAACAAGCAAAGAAAGGAGGAGGATAAAGCAAGAGGAGGTCAGGCAAACCCTCAAAACGATTCCACAGATCCTTCCAACTGCAGGAATAGCAGTAGCAGAGCAGACAGCAGCATGATAATCAATCACTAATCAGTGCTCAACTCGTGGGGTAATGGTAGTGGTAATCACTCACCTTGTCCTTGCGAATGAGCTTGCAGCCCTCGAGCGGGCCGAGCGCGGAGAAGATATCCCCCAGCATGGCATCCGTCACCTTGGTGTGCACGTTCCCCACGTACCTGCGCGCCAAGCCCCCCCCCCGCCCCGCCCCGCGCGCACACACCCACCACGCGCACAGCACAGCACACGGAAAGCACGAGCACAGCACAGGCAGAGCACGCAACAGAGAGGATCGGGATGCAGGGATGAAGGCACCGACGTATTGGAAGTCCGAAGACTAACGGCGAGGGTATTAGGAAGTGCACGTCAGCGCATGGAAGGAGAACGGCGACTGCGGCGCCATTGACAGGGATTGCTGATCCCTTGCGCCGACCTGCATAAAGCTTTAAGAGGCTGAAATAGACTCCTAGACAGAAAGAAAAAAAGACCGGAATAACCATCTTCTTAACGACGAAAAGCCCTGGCGACATACTGTTCTTCTGACTGCTATAAAACTCACACGCTGCGACAAGAAGTGGGATCAAAGCCGGGCGGGAGACTACCACCCTGAACAGAGTCAAGCTGCCCAAAAAAAAAAAGAGAAATAAAATTGCCAAAAAGAACGTAAGCTGGTAATCGTCGATTACGGAAAGACCCAAAATAATAACACTAATGACAATCGGTCGGCTTAAAAAAAGTTGACAAAATTAATGACGAACACGGCTAAATTATCGCCTCGTCACGAACTTCAGTTTTTTAAGATCCAGAAACGTCAGGCTACGTGCGATCTAAACGTTCTCGTGCGAAGACTAAATTAATTTCTTCTCGAACCAAACTAAAAGACGATGGATCGTCTAACACGTTAAACCCCAACCTGATCTTCCAGCAGTATCTTCAACACTATTAAAAACAAACATCATTAATACGCTCACCTTAAACAAACAACCACATTCGTGCGATCGTGCGATCAGAAACGAAAACAGCGCGATTAAATAATGGTGTCCGCGTGAAGAATGCGCTCTGCATTACGGAAAAAAAACATTCACGATCGAGCCTTACCGGGGTCATCGCCGCGGCTGACATGAGGCCTGGGTGGAACATGCCGGGCTGCTACTGCTGCTGCTGTTACTTCTGTTGTTGTTGAAGCTGCTATTACTGCTGTTAAAGCTGCTTCCACGGTTGATGATGCTGTTGCTGATGCCGAAGCTGCTCTTGCATAACACCCTGCTGCTGTGCTATTAGTGTCTGCTGGTATTTGTAGCCGTACCGCGCTTCGTATATGTGCTGTTGTGAATGATTGTCACCTTCTGCAACCTTCGCGGCTACTCCTCCTACCTAGTCGAACTTGTTTCTTTAGGCTGATAGAACCTAATCTGACTGACCTCGACCGCACGAAATACTACGCCCTTCTCACGTACGCGACATCTTCAACCTCGGTTCTAGATGATGAACAGAAATAAGGTAAACCTCTGGCAAAGCTAGGATCTGGATCACAGGGGAGGAACCAAGAATGTCGAATAGAAAAGACGCGAGTAAATCTTCCAAGCGTAGGCGACTAGGTGCTTAGTCGTAGAGCTCTGGAACCAGCATCTTGTAAGATTGGACCCTGTCGCGACTTCCCAAGAGTTGAGATTCTGCCGAAGAAGCAGCAAAAAACGGGAAAGTGGGAGGGAGAGGGAGCTTGGGGTTAAGGCCGGCAGCCCAAATTGCACAACCTATAAAAGGTTGACGCGATGGGGTTTTGTGGTCTTGGTATTTGCGAAAAAAAAACGGATTTCGTTTATTTCGATTTTTTCGTCAAACCTAGCCCCCCCTCGTATTTCGCCCTGGGGGGTTGGTTGAGTTCCGTAAGTCCCAAATTGCAGGCTCGTTTTTTTTCAAAGCTTGCAAACACAAGTTCTTCAAGTTTTAAAAGGTTGACCCGCGCGGCCCGCATTTTGGGCCGCGGGCTTTAAAGTGGTGGAAGAAGAGTCGAAAATGAACTAGGGCTTCTTTTTAGGACGTGTGTGAAATTGGATGGAGTTCGTAATCGGGGTCGAACTTCGTATGGTTACCCTATTCGCCACATTTCGCCTGATTTTTCGCCAAATCCGAAAGTATTACCACGTTTGGGAAGTGCGAACCCTCAATTGTGAACACGATAGGGAAGAATTATCAAACTTCGGCAAACACAAAGAACCGAACGTGTGTGGTGTCAGCCACGTACGAGGTTCCAGCGAATCTCGCGACTCTTTCGTGCGCCAATGAGATCACAACCAAGACCCTACACATTGCTGAACTCGCTAGGCCCACCACGTGGCACCCGACGTGTCACGATGGCCGGTCATGCGCGCGTATCTCCCGGGGCACGCGATGAGGCCACGATAATGTTGTTCATCCGGGAGATATTTGTATCGTGCACAACCAACCCTTCTGCGGAGTTGAGATGGAGGTCTAGGGCTCACTTTTGTGTGCAGCGCTCCGGTGACATGTCGCGCAGTGGTGTGATTGAAACCGGGTAACCTACTGTCCCCCCATGCGGCTCGGGTCCCCCCTTGTGAATTCGAACTTGCAAATTCGCACCTACGTGTGTGATTGTGAATCTACAAGCATGCTCACCAGCGGTTCGAACATTGCCACAACTCAAAATCGAGTCAAGTTCAGGTTATTAAGACCTGCTAAAATCGAGTAAAAAACATGAACTTTCAAAAAAAAAAATTTCACACACGTCCTTAGCTTCCAGAAAGACTCGATTTGCGTTGGCGCGTTAGGAGCCGTTAGACACAAATTGTCAGTACAAAAGGCTTACTATGGCCCTGTGGGAAAGAATCAACTGATGCAGAACCAATGGATATCAAGTCTCGATTCCAAGGCCAAAAGTGCCTGAGAACCTCCGCGCCACCTACGTGCGTGAATTGGAAACGATTTAATTTTGAAAGTGGAGAAAGCATTTGCTTGGAATGACGGATTGTGTATGACATGGTAAACTACCGTAAACCCCCGAGTATAGGACCCCCTCCAGTTGTAGATGTCAAATTATATGCCTGTGTCATAAAAAAATGTAGGCTTTAGTGGGGTAGCTAATGTAGGGTATAGGTTTTGTTACTTGTACCCAACTTTCTCGATAGTGCCATCATCCCTACCAATGCCTAAGTCTAAGATGGTATCTAGAGCAGATTAGGTCTTAAGGACCTAAGTTTGGCACCGTTACCACGTTACATCTCCTATGGTCCTACCTGCCTTTGCCTTACCTGCTGCCCGCGCGCGCCTCGGCTGCGCGCGCGCGTATTCTTTTTTTTTTTTTTTTTTGCGCGCGCGCAGCTGCTGCCAGCCGCGTCGCGCCCCGCTCGTCGCCCGCGCAGCCCGCCCTAGGCCCGCGCAGCCCTCGTGCGGCCCGCAGCTGCCCCGCGCACCGCCCGCGCAGCCCGCGTCGAGCCCGCGCAGCCCTCAGCCGCACGCAATCAGCAGCCGCGCGCAGCCCGCAGCCGCGCGCAGCCTGTAGCCGCACGCAGCCCGCAGCTGCGTGCCCTGCCCTACCTGTGCGCCGCCGCCTTGCCTTGCGCACTTCGTCGCCCGTGTGCCGCGCGTTCGCTCTAGCCGCGCGCCGCCCTTCGCGCCGCCCTCCCACTGACGCGACTCCGCCCTGCTGCTGACGCCCTGTGGGACCCGCGCGCTGCCCTGCACCAGTGCAGCCGCCCCTGGACCCTCGAGCAGCCGCCCCTGGACCCAGAGCAGCCGCCCCTGGCCCTTGAAGCAGCCGCCCCTGGAGCAGCCGCCCCTGGATCCAGAGCAGCCGCCCCTGGCCCCTGCAGCAGCCGCCCCTGGAGCAGCCGCCCCTGGAGCAGCCGCCCCTCCTCCGCGGCCTCGTCGCGCCCCCCCCCTTCGCGGCCCTTCGCGGCCCCCTCCACGGCCCTTCGCGGCCCCATCTTTGCGGCCCCTTCGCGGCCTCCTCATGGCCCCTTGCGGCCCCCCCCCTTCGCGGCCCCCTGCAGCAGCCGCCCTTGGCCCCTGGAGCAGCCGCCCCTGGCCCCTGGAGCAGCCGCCCCTGCAGCAGCTGCCCCTGGCCCCTGGAGCAGCCATCCCTGCAATAGCCGCCCCTGGCCCCTGGAGCAGCCGCCCCTGGCCCCTGGAGCAGCCGCCCCTTTCAGCAGCCGCCCCTGGCCCCTGGAGCAGCCGCCCCTGGAGCAGCTGCACCCCCCCCCCCCCCCCCCCCCCCCCCCCCCCCCCCCCGCCACCTGCAGCTGCCGCGGAGCCCTCGCCCTGCAGTGGTGCAGACCTTGCCGTTGCAGCCGTCGTACGCCTACCTTTCTTGCCACTGGTGAGCACTGTCCTGCCCGTACTGCTGTTACTGCTGCTCCTGCTGCTACTGCTCTTTCTACTCCTACTGCTGCTACTGCTGCTACTGCTGCTCCTGCTGCTACTACTGCTCGTGCTGCTCCTACGGCTCCTCCCCTTTCTACTGCTACTGCTGCTTCTAGCGTGGCCAGATGCAGCTCCAGCGCCGTCCGCGTGAGTCCCTCACGCCCCCACAGCTTCATGAGTGGTACGCTCGTTGGGGTTGTCGGGGTGGCCGTAGTGGGAGTCGTTCTGGCGTGAGTAGTTTCGGGGCTTCTTGTAGTGGCCAGGTGCAGCTGCAGCGTCGTGTGCGCGCGGTCCCTTCGCCCCCGCAGCTTCATGAGTGGTACTTTCAGCGGGGGGGGTCACGGGGTTCTGCTCGCTGCCCGTACGTCATTCGCACTGGTGCTCGGACTGGCCAGCCTTGCGGGACGTTTGGTCGCTCAGAGTCCCGCTGCTTCGCCAGTCTGAGCGACGCCTGGCGTACAGAGTTTGGCGACGCGGCTGAGCTCCCCGACTGGGTGGAGCTGCTACGGCAGAGGGTAGATGTCTATGCTCTTGACTTTGATGCTATCCTCACTGCCATGTATGCATTGTCTACTAGTGATGCCGGTGACTGTTCCTTGAGTGTTCCGCCCGACTCGGGCGGTGCAGCTACTGCTCCAGGTGCTAGTGAGTCTGCTGCTCCAGGTGCTGGTGAGTCTGCTCCCTTAGGTACCACGTCTGCTCCGGCGTCGCACACTTTCACCCTTGACTCGGGTGCTTCCCGCTCCTTCTTTCGAGACCGCACCACTCTCACGCCGCTCAGTCGGCCTGTTGCGGTCTCCCTGGCAGACCCCTCTGGGGGTCCTGTCCTTGCTCACTACTCCACTGTCCTGCCGTGTCCAGCGGTCCCGTCTGGCTCCCTGTCCGGTCTTTACCTCCCCTCGTTCTCTACGAACTTGGTGGCGGGTGCTGACCTACAGGATGGGGGAGTTGACCAGTTCACCCCTGCGCGTCAGCGGGTGACCCACTGCACGTGTGCTGACACGGGCCGACACTTGGCCACGTTTACTCGTCGGCCGGGGTCGAGCCTGTACACACTCACTACCGAGTCTCCCCCGGTTGCCGTGCCTGGTCAGGTAGCTGCATCGGGTCAGGTGTTTGCTGCAGCATCTCGGCCTGGTCCTGAGTCTGCCCCCTGCTCGTGTCGCCTCCTGTCCCACGAGACTCTTCTCTGGCACCACCGTCTTGGTCACCCCTCCCTGCCTCGTCTCCGAGGCATGGCCTCTCGTGTCCTTGTTTCTGGTCTCCCCCGGTCCCTCCCTCCCCTCCCTCCGGGGCCTGCCCCTACCTGCGTTCCCTGCGTCGAGGGGCGGCAGTGCGCCGCTCCTCACTCCTCCGAGTTTCCGCCGACAGAGGCTCCGCTACAGACTCTTCACATGGACGTGTGGGGCCCAGCCCGTGTCCGTGGACAGGGTCACGAGCGCTACTTCCTGCTGGTGGTTGACGACTACTCGCGTTACACCACAGTCTTCCCCTTGCGCCGCAAGGATGAGGTCACTGAGGTGTTGATCGACTGGATCCGCGCTGCTCGTCTCCAGCTCAGGAAGAGTTTCGGCTCGGACTTTCCTGTTCTGCGTCTGCACTCTGACAGAGGTGGTGAGTTTTCCTCAGGCCCTCTGCGAGCCTACTGTCGTGCGAGGGGCATCCGCCAGACGTTCACGCTTCCGGCCTCTCCACAGCAAAATGGGATTGCTGAGCGCCGCATTGGC